CATATACCATCGCTAGAGAAGACATTGAATTTAGATTTATCACTCCATAACACCCTTGGACCATTTTTGTTTGGTCCAAGTGATGTGTTCATATGCAAACTCTAATCTCAACTTTGTGTTTTTTGCAGAGATGGGTGATTTCTTTGCTGGTCGTCACCCATGTAATCCAAAACTAGTCAAACGTCTTCTTACAGTCTTTAAGTTTATATCTTGGTTACCTACTTCACGTTTAATATGTGCATCATTCAAACAAAGGTTGGCTGCATTCGTGCGCCTGATCAAACGATTCAACTATGGTGTTGTTTTTGTGGTCTACCTGACATTTTAGAAGAAACAATGATTCAATATTTTTGAAAACGCTTCATCACTTTCGCTATAACAGTTTTATGCATATTAAAGATTTTACGAGCAGAATTTTATCGTTATAAATCATATACTTTGGGGATTATTTTGTTTGGTTAGAATAGTGGGAACCACGAGCCAGAGAAAGTGCTTGTTGGTATCTAGTGTCTCAAAAGTTATTTTCGCGGATTTAATTATACTTAAAGATGATTAATTAATTTTATTTTAAGATGTATTTTGTCTATAGTAATATTAGGTTAAGCTAAATCGTATTAGTTTCACAATATAAAACTGTACACAACGGACGAACTTCAAAATGTCACTCACCAAAGTTCAGTACCGACTAGAACTAATTTTTAAGAGAAAGGTCTGTTTTCTTTCTTTTTAATTTAGACAGAAATGGCAGAAATTGAGAAAAAGAAGAAAGTAAAATGGGTATGAAAATAGAAATAGATAAAGTTCTTGTGAACAATATGACTTCACTGTGACTTTTTAATTTTTATTTACATTTCTCACTATCTAAGTTAATAATTCAATAAAGTTATTTATTTACTTTTAAATATTTATTATTAATTAAATATGGAATATAATTTATTTAAATCTAAAGCTAAAGACTTAGATTTGTACAGTTTCTTTAATTTTACAGATCTAAACTTCGTTTCTTACACAACAATAAATAAACAAACAATAGCTTCAGGCATCGTAAAGATAAATTATTAATATTTTTACAGAAGAAAGATTACCATAAATAGCATTTATTTTGTAATAGGTTTATTAAAAATAAATGTAAAAATAATTATTTTTATAAGCAAAGGGATCCTTATTGAAATGCATTTTCGATCATGAATTCCATTTTGGTTAATGCTTCTTGAACAGCCGTTAGCAGATTCTTTACGTTATTCACTGCAACGTCTAAAATATAAATAGATTAATTTATAAGATTTAAACCATGAAACTTATATCAAATTTTTATGTTGGAGCATCCATTAACAAATGACACTTACCCATTGTCATTTTAGATGAAGAGTGCACTCTATATGGATCTCTGTTCCAATACGGATTCACTGGATTATACATCATTGTATTAAAGTATGGAGATATGGGCATTTCATACGGGTAACCAACTGGTCTATGATAATAAGCTGCTTGGCACCAGAAAATTTCCAATAAAAGAATTTGTAAGAACAATATCTTCATTATTCTTCTCTTGCTGCGGCTATTTCGGTTGTGGTATGAAGCATAAAACTACTCTACTTATATACTATTATCCAGTCGATACGAAATGTCAACACTTGCATAATATTAAAGTAATTGGAGATTTTAGTAAAATTTATTCTTCAAAACATAATTAGTTTTGGAAACTATATTAAATAATTCATCTCGAATAACAGAGATTGTTCAATAAAAAATTGTTTCGAAATTACTATTGATAATTCAGAAACATAATATTATAAGGAAAAAATTTATAATAAAAGTATTAATCGACAGAATTTTAATATTAAAAACTATTTATTTGTAGTTTTATTACTGCCGTTATTACGTTTTATTAAGTTATATATTAATTTTAAAACCATTGTTTTACAGGCATATGGATTTTGTTCAATTTTAACTTATTATAATGTAGGAAAAAATTATATTTAGCGTTATAACTACATTAAATATAAGGGAATGTAGTTGAAAAAGTTTCAAAAAATATTATTTTAAAGTTAAACAGGGACGATTTCATAAAGAAGAAGTACTTCCTGATAAGAGTTTCTATAAAAAACTGGCCCCTATTCAGGTATTAGACACGGGAAGAAAGTCTGGAAAACTCCACGTGGAGAAACTCTTTTGGTGAGGCGCAAACTCGAGATCAATTACCATTGTGAAGTGGTTTCATATAACTTGCAAACTAGTAGACCCAGAAAATTATTAAAAATACCGATTGGAGAATGAAACTAATTATTATAGTCGTAAATGTTTACACGTAAAACTGTCAATCTCACAATAAAATGCAGGACCCGACATGTCTAGAACATTTGCCTTTAAAACTGCCTTATGTTGATGACTACATTTAGTCATACTACATCCACAATGCTAGTATACAGCTGATAGAAGTCAAAATTTTTAAGTTTTCTGCATCATATCGAAATTTATTCAGGTATTTTATTATTTTACGCACGGGATTTTGAGGACTATGACCTTTGTGGAAAGGTTAAAACTATAACTTTTAGTGGCAGGGAACGTTGTCGAGAATTATCTTTATATAAAAATTATTTTTATGTGTTTTTCTTTGAAATAATTTATTGATTACGTAGAAACCTAATTACAATAACCATAGTTTTTAATTATTTAAAATCTGAAATAATAAAGTAATATGCATTTTCTTCATTTATAAACATTTTTTAAATGTTATTATAAGAATTTAAACGTTTCTGATGAACCGTATCACTCAGTAGTGGCCACAATTGTTGACCTGCAAGGAATTCTTGAAACTAATTTCCTCAAAAATTTAAATGATTAAAACACTTTTATATTTTTACGATATTAAAATGTTAAGTAAATTGAACAAGTTCTTAAAAGATTCGGAATGTCAAACAATATACTGTACAGGGGAGACCGGGGTAACTTCGGCATACGGGGCAAGTTTGTCAAGCGCTTGTTTTAAAAACAAATTAAAAGGAGACTTTGGTTATAGGTTAGGCAGTTGAGTTTTATTGGTGGCTTGTTGAGTGTAGTGTTTTTATTGTTCTCCAACAAGCGTAGTTGAATTATCAAGCAAATTTTCATTTTCGTTCAATTCCATATAATATTTTTTTTCCATTTATATTGAATTGGCAGGTTTTGTTATAATTCCATGATAACGAAAGTTACTTTTCCTGTTAGAAGGATGTAACTTCAACTTATTCACGTGGCCAGATCGTGGCTTGGCATTCTGTTCTCAGGGTTGTACTTAATGTTTCGAAATCATGACTAGCGGGGTAAGATCGGCAACATAAAGCCACATTAGAAGCAAAGGATAAAAATCAAACAGATGATAAATGAAAACATGTTTGCATTTGTTATTCATGTATATATGTCTTTGAACTTGCATTTCGTTGTAATAATATTAAATGGGTGTTGGATTTGTATTTCTTTGTTTTAATAGTGAATTCCAACTTATACATTGTTAATAACATAATTTTATATACGTGCCTATCTTGCCCCATTACTGTTGCCCCTATACCAGGGGCAACTTTAATAAAAATAATTAAAATAATTACAACTTTACAAAAAGAGAGAAGTATTACAACTTTACAAGAAGAGAGAAATTGTCGAAGTTGTTCCGGGTATAGGGGCAACTTCGACAATTTCTCTTTTCTTGTAAAGTTGTAATTATTTTCTCTTCTTGACAATTTCTCTCTTTTTGTAAAGTTGTAATTATTTTAATTATTTTTATTTCCAAACTGATTTTAACCAGTTCTGTAGTAAGAAAACATTCCAATAGACAATATGCAAAGCTTTTTTTCAGGTTACAGCAGTATTTATTACACAAAATTTAAGTAAAACTTAACATGCCGATCTTGCCTCGGTCTCCCCTATATAAATTTCAGTGGCTACTTGACAAATTCTGTTTAGGGAAATTATGTAAATAAAAGAAAATGCCCTTTATAAATTATAGATTCACGAATCTTTCAAACGAAAGTGCTCTAAGTATACAACCTACATTCTGTTTGGTTAACCTCTTACAGTTTTAATGTTTCTACAACTTACTCGTATAAAGATAAGTTGTAGAAATCTTTCAATTTTCAATTATTTCTGTCTGTTGGCATTAATATCACTTTTCTACGCCGGACATAATTGGAGTGGCAGACGAAGACAGTGTTCTACATATCGAGGACAGACTACACAAAAAATTTCTGAACTTCTCGTCACCTAAAGTAGGACTGTAACGCCTGTAATATCTTGCCAAGTAGACCAAGTGAAAAGTTTATTTATGTCTATGTTCTATTTACCTAGTTGTGCATAGCCATGTACAGTACTTACTTTGTTGTACATAACAGTAATCGTGTTTGATGATAATATTAGTTGGAAACGTAAAGAAACATGAGTTGTGTTTCTGACACATCCGTACGAATAATCCCTTGTACTATACTTCTGAAACAAACACCACTTCTTGTACTATACATCCATAAATTAATTCAATAATTCTATATAACGTAAATATATTTCTTGAAAACACGTGATATTATAAAAAAGCGTATTAATAATATTATTACTACCGGGAGGGTGGTTAAACCACCGAGCACTAGTAGTTATTAGCGGATTCGCGCTTCACTAACGGACTGCTCTCATAAAGTTCTCCAATTTTTTCACGTGCCTAACACATAAACAGATGCTGAATTTCCCATAGAAATTCTTCCAGATTCTCCTCCTTGTTAGAATGTTCATGCGAGCGTTGCCTTATTCCGCCAATCCAAATCCAATTTAAGCTTTTAATTAATACTTAATCTTGTTAGAAAATAAACGTTCCATGATTAAAACTCCATTTTAGCAGTGTTTAACTGACCATTCAGAGGTATTTTTTACCAATTAGACTCATGAAGTGTTCGGCTAATTTCTATGTCCGTAATGAGAGTAGTTGACTGGTGATAAATAATTTACAATAAGTTTTCCAATACATAATTTTATTTTTAGAATAAACCCAAATAATTTCCACTTTTACAAATTGAAACTTGTTGAAACCCATAAGTTCTTACATAAATCAGTTTAGAAATGACACAAGCTTAAGGAATGGTAAGTTATTAACAATGTTAAAAACATTATTTATTTCTGAAGCATCTCTAAAAATAATAACAAATTTCAGTGTGAAAATCTACATCTTTACGAATAAGATCAATAATAATAATAATTTTTAAAAAATATTCTATCGTAGATTTATACACCAACAAATTTTTGTAAAATTATTCATCAACCCGTCGCCCTCAAAGAGTCCAATAAATCTTTATATCTGTGATTTGTTGCATCAGGTGGGAATGTATGAATCGATTCAAGACGTCTTTGCACCAACTCTTCGTACGATTCAGTTACAGCTGTTGAAATTTTAAAAAATTCACAATAAATTTTTTGTAACTTCAGTCTAGAAGTGATATATAAATCATAATTTATTTAGTTTGTTTACTTTTACTTACCTGTATGAAGTAGATAATCTATATCGGTACTATATCTATCAGTGGGCGCTTTTTCGGCATCTGAACTTCTGCCAGGTGAATACGCTCGATTCCTCATATACAACGGGATGTTTGGAGTTTCTGCTGGTGCGAAATTTCGAAAAAAGTAAGGTATTCTGTTCCAGTCGCCATTATAGTTGTAACTTATAGCTCCTCCTGTAAATATTGTTGCAAGAATAAGAAAAATTTCAACTTTTTCCATTGTTGCGATTGCTCTCTGACTGGATCACTTTATGCTGTTGCCTTTTTATTTGCTGTTCTCGCTATGAAATATTGGGTAATTTAATACAATTTAATATCCTTAATAAAATATTTTTCTCACTGTAATATGGCTGCTGTTTATTGGTTTCTATATGTAACGTCTATTTAATCCAAAAAACGTGTTTGGTAGACGATCTCGCAGCTTTCTGGTTAGAAACAGCTTTATTTTATAAATTGGGTTTTAAATGCATTTCGGGTTGGTTTAAGTTTCCAACCCCTGTTCAGTGATATCATATACAGTGGTACCTCAGGATACGAAATTAATCCGTTCCGAAACTGAGATCGTATCATGAAAATGTCGTAAGGTGGATCATCTTTTCCCATACGATTACATGTAAAACCAAATAATTCGTTCCAACGCGAAAAACATACTCAAATTAAAGCCAAGTAATACATTAAAAAAAATAACTGTAGTAAGAAAAACAAATGAAAAATGCGAACTAATGTAACGTCGTATGGTGAGTTTTTGTTCGTATCGTGGAGCAAAAATATGTTCGAATTTCATGTCGTATCCTGAAAATTTCGTATGCTGGGGCGTTCGTAACCTGAGGTACCACTGTAAAGGCATAAAGTCTTTTTCATAAAATAATATTAGTTAAAAAACAGAAAACAACATATTCATATAAATAATATATAAAGTTAATAAGTAAGAGTTGTAAATATAAAATTCATCTAAATTATATTAAAAAATGGAATTTTATCCGTCTATCACCACCGACAGTTCCTATTTTGGGCCTGGTAGAACACCTGATGGACACAGGAGAAAGGCCATTTTAGTGCCCACAGCGTGAAGATAGCGAAAAGTGCCGAAAAACGAATGTGAAATGCCCAACAGTGGACTGAGTGGATAAAACACTGACCACTGGTAGTTGGTCCCGGGTTCACTCTTCATAAATGGGATGGTCGCGTAATTTTCCTGGTTTTCTTCATGTGCCATACCTAAATAGGGCCAGTTTCATAGAAAATCTCGTGAGGCGTAGCTATTTGGTAGATTGCCCTTGTCTTGCGTTGCCTTAATCTATCAATGCAGTCTGTCTAATCTATTGAAAACTGCATAGATTTAAAAAATTCCTTTATTTTACTGTCTAAAAAATGAAATATAAATATTAAAAATAATTTAAGACAATAGCAAAGACCATTTTTTCTTTCACTATCGTTACCTATCATATATAAAACTAACACTAGACAGAGAAACATTATTATTATTATTTATTGGCATAATGTGCAGCCTGGCTCCGCATAAGCACCACCAGGTTACTAATACAGATACAATAACATGTAATTACAGAAGATATAAAAATTAACACAAAATTAAAGTATAATACACTAGAACATAAAGCGATAAATATAAACAGACAGCGCAATGGCAAAGGACAATTTACAATAATACACATGACGAGTAAAAATGCTGCAGGTACATAGAAACAGTGCATTATATATAGTGATTAAAAGTAGAAACGTTACATTTATATACATTAAGAGAATCAGCGGACCACGATGAGATACAGAAGTTAACTTGGGGTAAACCTGAATGATGATGTTAAAGTGAGAATATAGTTCTTTATTGTTGATCAGATGTTGGCAGTCACACGGACAGTTTAGTTCACTGTTCAAAACTGTACAATGGAGAATATGCTGTTGGTGACTTAACATGGGGCAGTCAAAGATACAATGATAGCTGCCATCAGGAACGTCACATAAGGCGCAGAGTCTACAAGGGAGAAACTATGTAAGTAACTATTAAAACGTCTATGATCGGTAAAGAACTGGGTGTTGAAGTGATTACGGGTGAGCCAGGTTGCATGCAAAGTGTCTTTGATGGATGGGAAAAAACAGAAGGCAGTCTTGTTGTGGTTGTTGCTCCGACATTGCTGCCTGATGTTAATTATATCCTCCCAAAGCTTGCTAAAGTAAACAGAAAAGGAGGCTTGTGGTAAGTGATAATATGGGTGGTATCAGCACCAAGTCTGCTAATGGTATCAGCACCAGCAGACTTGGCGAACAGGTCCACACGCTTATTTTTAATATCGTTATGGGCTAGACAGATAAACATAGTTGTTTTCTTTTTAATCTTTCCATCCTGTGGATCCCAAGAGATCTTTTCTTCAAATTATCGTAAATTCGGCCAGGGACGACCGGATGAGGGACGAGGTCCGACATATTCGAAGTAGACCACCTGCAAAAATTTCTGAGAGTTTCCAACAAAACCGGAAATCGATGCCGAGTCATCCAAAGCGGTAATGTGAAGTCTTATTTACAACGCAATCCATCTGATTTGCCAAAATTTACATACGTATTGAAAGTACTAAACTGTATTTGGTAAATAATGTTTCTGGACGCATACAATTTTAATATCAATTCATATTGTAGTTTTAATAATGGTTTTTTCATTTCTCTAACTGAATACTTCTTGAACTTTCACCAATAACAAAATATATAGCAATATCCATTTTAAATTTGAAAATAATAATAATAACAATAATAATTGTATAAGTTTCAGATCTGTGAAAAAAAATTTCATTACTGAAATATAATTCATTTGACTGGAATTGATCCAACTAATATAAATTTCTTGGTAGCTATTTTCTGGACGACGCATTAATTTATATGAATACGAATTGCAATTGGGCTAATATTATTCGAAAATGCATGAATTTATGAAATTTTATATTTGAAATGGCCAATCGTTGCCCACGTCGAATTTTACGGGTTTTCTTCGCGTATCTAATGCCTACTGACAGACCAGTTTTGCATAGAATACTTCTAGAAAAAATCGTATAATTTTCCTTTTCTGTCAGTTCTGACACCAGTTAAGATAAATTTACGCGTGTTAACCCCCAATGAAATTGTGAAAATTTGCTGGGTAGAGCTTGGTAGGTCGATAGTCGTCCGTATTCCGAGTAAAGACAACTTACCAGGTTAACAAATAACAAAAGTTTAATAACCTAAAATAAGACACATCTACAGACAAGCACAATGGATATTATAATTCGACAATACATCTAAATGGATACAATGTATCATCTACCAAGCTTCTTACTTCTAAGTTGACCGAGAAAGAGACTTTACTTAAATCTCTAAGTACAATACCTCGACCGAGTCGGCTGTAGGGGGACTACTCTAGAAACAGAGTTCGACAAAGGGACGTTCGGGAAGACAAATCGGTCTAGAGAGTGGCAGAAATCTTCATCCGCGAGCTTCCTTCATGGAGTCCCTTTCGGAGGGAAGAGGAGACGAGAGCTGGCGAGTTGAGCTTCGGCTATTAGTTTCGTGGGTGAAGACCGCCCTGAAGTTTAGATGTAAGCTCGTTATATCCTCATCAAGTGTTGGAATTTGATCAGGTAACCTTTTGTAAGTGCCATGATGTTATCTCAGATATGTCAGTTAGAGACGTAAGGATTTCGCAAATCGGGCGGGATGTTTATGCTTTCCGCGAAAATATGCGACTCTCACTACTGTGTAATTATTGAAATGTCTTCAACAAGTATTTTTTGGAATTTATCCTAGAAACTTTCCACAAACAAAAGAAGATATTGTTGACTTTTGCTATAATATTCGATTATCTTATGTTTACATATCCCGTGAAAGACGAAAACTATAAAAGTGAAAAAAATACCTTTTTTTCACACAATACTTAACAAAACTGTTTCACTAATCTCACATTATTTTTTTTGCTTTTACGTAAACATTGTAATAATCTTACAGCCGATTTATTTCCTTTTCCTTTTACTTTCTCAAATCGAATAGTTTTTGCTATTTTTCTATAGTATATATAAAATTTAGGAGAATTTTGACCCGTACTGTACATTTATCTGTATTCTTGTAATACAGTATTACACAACGGATATACTCTGTATACCTTTATATTATATCAGTCTAACAGTAGCCGAATGGATTGGTATCGTGGGTTTGAGCTATACTAACGGATACGTCAAGTAAACTTTCCTGGGATTTCTTTACGTGTCAAACACCTCGATCAAGGCCAGTTGCTTAAAAAAGTTCTCCCAGGAAACATCCTCCGTTCGGCAGATAAACTTGTGCTGCGTTGTCTTCTCTCATCATAGCATAATATTAACAAATCCTACAGTGTAGCCTATAATACAGATCACAAATCTTGGCAGTGTTGCACAAAGTAGATACGTCAGAGCAAATGGCAACTTATCACACGATTTCGATAATATTTTGCGGTATAAATAGAAAATTATTTTTTCTATCGATTTCTTATTGTTTTCTGAACTACTCAGTACATTATCCTCCATTTCTCAACTGGTATTTGAAAATTTATGTTAGATAAAATAAATCCACTTCCTTTCCTTAATATAAACAATCAATTATGTGTAGTGACAAGGTTACAATGCCGGGCAGGAATTTTTAAACATAATTTTAATTTATTAACGAGACTATAGCGAGTTTGCGTCCGAAGTTTTCATCTCTAAAACGTGAACGTCGAACGTCGAGCGCCGCTTACAAGATAGCGGCGCTCGACGTTCGACGTTCACGTTTTAGAGATGAAAACTTCCGCCGCAACATCGCTTATGTCTCGTCTCTACAACCGCGCTGCTGTCAACAGCTGCACACCTTAGAGGTATGAAGGAGTACATGTCAGCAGTTGCATTTGTCACAGACTATTTAAATGCACAAATCATGCACACATTAAATAAACCAGACTTGTATGTAGTCAGACGGCCGATAGCTGGGTTAAAATAAAACACAAAATGCTAAGACTGTTTTTACAAACAGGCACGAGGGCGAGATTGGCGCATGTATTGCTCGCGCGCTCCGAGTTAGTTTTGTCCTAAGAATGGCTTTACCGTTTTAATTGTTTAATCTAAAACACACGCTGTTTACATCAAATTAATAGTATTTTGCCCCTGTACATCGTACTATTCCTCTTAGAGTTAGAATCGTGCCTGATACCTATCTAACTCCTTTCAGGAAAAATTTGAATTGAAATAACGTGACTTTCCATGCAAAACAGAAGATTTTCTTCAGTTAATTGGAACCTCTAACCCCTACGCTTTTCATATCTTGTCTCGACTTGCATCTATCTAACTCCGTTCTCGAAATAAAAAAGAAAAAAACAAAAAAAACAGTCAGACTGGCATACAGACAAATGACAGTGAGAATTTATAGACCTACAATATTTTCAAATTGAAACCAATTAAGTTTAGAACATTAACACGAATAATTTAGAAAATAATTATCCTTGATATAAAACATGAGAATCAAAAAAGTTTTTGTTCGTAAGGTAATCTTGTCTTCAATAAATTTATTACTTTAGGTAACACTAGCTTATCCGTCGCGCATTGCTACGATCTCAGAAGAAAGGAAATTCAAGCAAACTCGTTATGATAAAATTCAATTTACATTTTATCATTTTTATTGAAACTTATTATTATTATTATTCATTTTCATCGGGAAAACATTTCAAAGTGTCGTTTCAATTCTATTTATTTATTGGAGCTCTTGTGGATACACCAGGGCTGTTGAGTCGTAGTCGGAGTCGGAGTCGTGGAGTTTTGGTGTCTTAGCCGAAGTCGGAGTCGGAGTCGGATGATAAGGAAAAGTCGGAGTCGGAATTGGAGTCGGTAGATTTTTACGCGACTCCACAGCCCTGGGATACACGATATTTTTTTTGTTTTTTCAGTCTGGTGCGTACACGAATAAATCGGAAGGTTTTCCAACGCGTGAGCTGGCCACACAGTTCTACATGGGAGAAGAACGGATTCTCCAAAACTAGCTCACACACTCGCAGCGATTGTCAGAAGCGCGATATTCCCCATTTAAATCCTTTATAATTTTAATTATTTAATTTCTCCTTCCTCTCTTCCTTGGAGTGTTGTGAAATTTCTGATAGTTGGATAATAAACCGTTTTATTGTAATTTGTCTTTTTAAATTATTTTGAGTCGATATTAAAATTTGGAAAAGGGGAGATCCCTACATAGGTAAAATAGGCGATTTCCTCCTACGACATCGGTTGTTGTTCTGGATACAATAATAAAGTTCGAGTAAATATATAATTAGCAAAAAAAGTTGGAATAAAGTGATTAAACAAAATTATTACAAATATCGTATATAATAGTTCACAAATGCATATATATATTTTTTGGAGGTGGGAAATGGTCTTCACAATTCGAAGTCGATCGAACACACGGTGAAATGCTCGTATACACGCGCGCCATCTATCGTAGGATAAATGTACTATGTCAGAAACCTTCGCGGGAGTGTATTAAAAAAACTTTCCAAAGTTTCACCGCAATCGAATAAACGGTGTGGTAATGCATGAAGGACAGACACACAGACATACATTCATTTTTATATATATATTGATTATAATATATTGATAGAAAAACAATTTACAGAAATCTATCACGACAAATTTATATTTAATATTCTATTTCGATTATTACTTTGAATTATTTATTTAATATAATTCTCGTAAAAATACAAATATTATATTTATAATACCATAATATTTAATTAAATAATTCTGTTTAAAATTAATATGAATTTATTAATTTTCTACTTCTCAAAATTTTAGATTGTTTTCGAGAAAAATATTTTTATACGCAACAGCACTGTATTCAATTACTGGTAAACTTACTTGATTACGATAACTGAACATATAAAAACGTCCAGCAGTCATCTGATTTAGTCACTCTAAAAGAAATAATGGAGAAATTCATAATTTCACTTATCCTTGCGGCATTAAGTATAAGTCAAGCCCAGCATTATGGAAGAAACAAAAAACTTAGCTACAATTCTGATCCAGATTGGAACAGAAAGATGTATGCATATCCTGGCCCTGTCCGTTATGATCCAGTTGTAACTAGAGTGTCCGTGCTGAAAAACCGAACTTATTGGCAAAGAGACAAAGCGAATTCACCGACAGACGGACCACATATACCAAGAAACCAAGCATACTCACCAAAAGACGAAGTGCCTATACCAAGAAGCCAAGTATATTCACCAATGGACGGACCAATTATACCAAGGAACCAAGCATATTCACCAGTAGACGGACCACATATACCAAGAAATCAAGCATATTCACCAGTAGACGGACCACATATACCAAGAAATCAAGCATATTCACCAGTAGACGGACCAATTATACCAAGGAACCAAGCATATTCACCAGTAGACGGACCACATATACCAAGAAATCAAGCATATTCACCAGTAGACGGACCACATATACCAAGAAACCAAGCATATTCACCAATGGATGGATCACATATACCAAGAAACCAAGCATATTCACCTGTGGACGGTAGAGATACACCAGGAAACCAAATATATTCACCAATAAGCGGACCACATATACCAAGTAACCAAGCGTATTCGCCAAGAGATCAAGCTTACTCACAAGAGTTCCCGGAAAATAGAAAAAGTACCGAGAGTCTACTTGGTAAGAACAGTTTATTTTTACAAAAACAGTAAATACATTTTATATGACGTAGTATTCTATATATAAACTAAACATAAATTAATGTGTATTTATAACTGTTTTAAAATTTTAACTGTTCTTGTAGATGTTCTTATCAAACAGTGGAAAGAAATCATACGTAATTTACCTTCTGAAGTAGAAAAAAAAACAAAAATATTGGAAGAAGCATTAAAAGAGCTAATGATGTATATTGCTGGCTAAATATTTTGTATTACGAAAAATTCTTTGCTATAATAAATTCATTATGCAAATATATGTAGCCTCTATATGAATATGAATTGAATTCACGTTTCTGTTGTATATTCGTTTGTTCGAATACCACGTGCCACACTCGGTGACAAACTAGAAAAATATCATAGAAAATACCTTCCGAGACTTATCTGACATAGCGAACAAACAGTATGTACTGTAGGTATAAGTGTAGCCAGTGACATTATCAACAAAGGACATTGATATTTATTGGTCGTAATAGAGAACATAATGTGCGTAGTGTAAGCCTGGTCGAGTCATTAACTACATGAAAACAATGATCATTTGTTGTTTAATTGAAACTCGTTCTTTCGATTGTTTCATTAATCAGTAACTTTTGAGCATACTTTTTTCTGAATAGAACTAGAAGAGGGCTGTCTGCTCCTCTTCAGTTTTTTATTACAGACTTTTGACTGTTTGTATAATGTTGACGTAATCAATTACTGGTGCGTTCCCAGTGTGATTTGTTCTCTTGAAAAAAATTTGTGCTTATCACAAAGGATTAGTTGTTTATCATTCTAAAATATTGCATAAATCGAAATTTCATTTATCATAGTAATAATGGATTCAACATATCATGGTTTCATAAGTAAATTATGAAAAAAATAAAGCAATTCGGATTATTACTAGGTATATTCTAGAAAAAGAAGCACGGCTTTACCTAGTAGTTTTTACTCTTTCGGTTTCACAGGAATACAGAACTGCGGTGACACGCTTATAACGTTCTTTCTAAAGCTCTTGAAACCTCTAAAGTTCGTCAATGACAGGCATGACGTCCAACGACATAACCAAGAAAAATGTCAAAAACCGTTTAAAATACCAACACCCGCCTATACCTGCCTACCAAGTTCAGCAATCGGTTAAATCGCACATGTGCACGTCATGCATATTAATTAATGTGCATATTAATTAAAAGCCCGTCGTAAAGATCAAAATAAAAAATTGTGGCAGATATAAATGTAATTTGACAACAATCGGAAGCTCGATCCACACGTTGCACGCGACCAAAATACAAGCGGCAATCGGCTATGGAAACTTTCACCTCGAACATCTCGTAGCAAAAATCGAATTTCAAAATTTTGGCCTTCCCGAATTACACATATCGCAAAAAATACAATTTTTTTTCTTGCTATATGCATGATATAGTCAATTGAATTTCCCCATTGTATTGGAATATAATAATTATTTTTCTATTATACTGTATTGAGAAATAAACCTCTGTTTACAAGCAACAACATTGAGTTTATAAGTGAAAAAATGGTTATTTGTTCAAACAACTGGTTCATTTCTCTCTGAAATATATGAAATTCTTTTCATAAAGTATTCAGATCAATTGAGTTGGTTTAGTTTTATTCGTATACTGTAACGCGACACGTGGGCGAACTTCTGTGGGCGAAATGATTCCCGGAAACTTTTTTATGAAAAGTTAACTACTATTTAAGAGTTAATAACGAGATGAAAACCCAGAAAACTTCACGTTTCCAGCGTGTTGGCTAAGCGCGAACCTGCGGTGTTCTTGGTTTTACCAACCGGCTACTGGTAAGACGGATCAATTGGTGATTTAAAAGAGAAGAAACAATTTTAAATATTTTTGGGGCCTTTGTCATAAACGATACTAATACTGTATAACAATTTCAGTTCTATAAAATTATAATAAGAACTTTGTTAATATCTTATGTATCAAACCATCTAAAAGGGGTTTTTTGGACTAGTAAAGAAATTTTTATGTCCTTCTAATCCGAGTGTTTACTTAAGTTCAACAATTACTCGGTCGTTTTCGATTATTTCCAAGCATTTCCTTTTTTCTCATTTATTATCGACCAAAATCAGTCGCTTTATCTGCTCTTACAAAGGTGATGTTATTTTCTATCAAAAGTTTTTGAATTAAATTGTATTTTTTAAAATCACCTTTTGGCTTTTTGTCTAATAATTATATTTTCCCGTTTCTATTCTTGTTTAATATTTTAATAATATCTTTTTTAAACATCTCTTTTAAGTTGCTTTTTTCTTTTGTTTTAATGTTATGTAAAGATGTTTCTTCATATATCGGATGGTACCTACGTTTGTATACATATTGTAGGTTATTGTTTATATTTTGTTTTAAAATACGTATTAACTGTAAATTTACAAAACAATTTTATCTAACCATAAAAACTTTTGTCAATTTTTCAAAGGTCCAGTCTTTATAACGTTTAGTAACATAAGACATTTTTGTTTATGCAGTTTGGTAAGGTTAATCTTGTTGGACTTTCAAATTGTTACGTTTTATGCATCTGTGAATAGCTAAACTTTTATTCTTAAGCCATTTTTAATTCTTTCTTTACATTCTACACACGCTTCAACGCTTAACACCAACTTCTAATGCTATTTTTTCTACAGAAAAGTTTTCTTCAGAAAATTGAAATAAGGAGTTTTTCTTTCATTAGATGGTGGTTCATATGGAGTCTTATGGCTGTACACCTTTACTCTGAGAGATTTGTGTGTGATCGCTATTCGACCGAAGAGCCGGTCTTATAGAATGGCCTAATCACGCATGGGAACAGAGTGCCTTCCGGAAAGACTTTTTGGGGAATCTGACCCCTATTCAGGCATTACCCACATGGAGAAAACCCGGAAAACTCCATACTGTCCGCCCATCCGAGGCACGAATCCTCGACCGAACATGCAGTGTTTAGGGTATAGTCCACTCAAGTGCGGGGACGAAGATCGCTCGGCCAATGGTGAGCAGTACAGAGTTTCTTTTCACTGTAAAGTTTTTTCGTGATGACGCATATCAAACAGCAGCTTATTTGCATATTTATTCGCTAATATCTCGTTAATGTGCACGAAATTAAACTGTTTAACGTTCATATTATAATCAGTAGCGTAGCGTGGGTGTCAGCCGCCCGGGGCGGAGGTAAATTTCGCCCCCCTTATTTAGGTATCTCAATTTAAAAGACTAAAATTCAGTTTCGTCACAGAATAAGTAATGAAAAATTCCGTGCTAGTGCTGTCACCTTATTAAAATCGCTGACCCGGACGGCAGGTGAGGTTTGTTCGAATAGAAGTTCCTGACGCATGCGTATGTCATTTTGTAATGCGAAGAATAATGTGCAGTGCATGCTGGTTCTAAATCAGTTACAGTTAGCGACTAGGGAGACTTGGATAGGAGTAACGCAAGTGACCTGGCTGTATTGGATATGGGAAGTGTATATATATACGAATATATCGTATAAGCAAAAGAGAAAAAATAAAAGAAATAAAAAAAAAAATAAAAGGTCAACAGGTTGCGCACTATATCCCCAGACGGCGAGTCGATTTCCGGACTTTCGGGATGGATGGTAACACTATTCCGTGCTCATTTCAATCGGTCCGAGTCGTAGGTGGACGAAAATATGAAATAAAATGGTTCAAATTGCTGGATAGAGCGAGGAGTTGTGGGTAAGTCGCTAGACATTCCGTTTTCCGAGTATTGACAGGTTACCATGTTAAGAAATAACAAAAGTATAATAACCTAAAATAAAACACATCTACACACAAGCACAATGGATACTATAATTCGACAATACAACCAAAGAGAACAATATATCATCTATCTAGCTACTTATATCTAATTTGACCAAGAGAGAGAGTTTACATAAATCTCTACGTACAATACCTCGATCGAGTCAACGGTAGGAAGACTATTCTAGAAACAGAGTTCGACAAAGAGACGTTCGGGAAGACAAATCGGTCTGGAGAGTAATGGAAATCTTGATCCACGAGCTTCCTTCATGGAGTCCCTTTCGGAGGGAAGAGCAGACAAGAGCTGGCGAGTTGAGCTTCGACTATTAGCTTCGTGAGCGAAGTCCACCCTGAAGTTTAGGTGTAAGCTCGTTATATCCCCATCAAGTGTTGGAATTTCATCAAGTGACTTTTTGTAAATGTCATGAAGTCATCCCAGATGTGTCGTCGGTAGGCCAATTAAAGCCATAAGAATTTGACAAACCGGGTGGGTTGTTTATACTTTCTGTGAAAATAGGCGACTCTCACTACCGTGTAATTATGAAATGTCGATGTTCCCTCACGTCAACAGGTAGTTAGGATTTATCCCAGAAACTTTCCACAGACAAAAGAAGGAATTGTTGACTATTGTTATGATATTCGATCATCTTATCCCATGAAAGACAAAAACTCTAAAAGTGGAAAAAATGCCTTTTTTCACACAATACTTAACAAAACTGCTTCACTAATCTCAAATTAATCTTTGCTTTTACGTAAATATTGAAAAATTTTACAGCTGCTTTATTTCCTTTTCCTTTTACTTTCTCAAATCGAATAGTTTTTGCTATTTTTCTATAGTACAGTAAGACCCCGCTTAACACTGCCTCGCTTCACGCTGATTCGATATAACGTGGTTTGCTCGAAGCCTCAAAATGTATGCCGATTTAAATTATAGTGGCATTTCATTGATTGGTATGTGAGATCTGAATAGCCCTCGGGTCTAAAATAATAATTTAGAAATAAAGTAAAATCTTTACAGAAAAATATTCTTCCATTTTAATGGGAAAATAACGTTTTTCTAGCGTGGGAAAGCAGATAAGAGAGTCACTTCCTTTGACAGAAGTATGAGCATCTTCTGTTCTTCCCTTATCTCTTAAAAATCTCGCTACGATGGGAGGTGACGACCCTTCATTTCTTCCCCCCTTCCCATCCGTTCACATGGAAGAATTCTAGTATGATGATTGGTCGTAAATCCGAAGATATAGTCGAAGTTTAGGAGAGTTCGGAGAGTTCGTCAACAGATCCCAGATGAGGGAGACTTAATCCATGCAGGCTCCAGAAGACCAACGGCCATAGTCGAATGCTATTGAGTTAATATTGATACAGAACTAGGGAATTCGATCCCGGTCCTTATTTCTAATCCCGGGATTTCGGGATTATACTTATTCGATCCCGGGATCCCGGGATTATTTCAGTATTGAGGGTTAATAAAAAATAAGAAAATCTTACAGAAATTAAAAATTAAAATTTAGACAAAAAT